TTCGCGTCACTACACAGAGCGGTTAAGTGGAACGTTTATGATTCAGTCCAGACCATTAGGAAAATAAAGCGAGAAAAAATGTAAATGCCAACACACATGTTCGCCGTTTTCTTTCGTTCTCTCTTTCTATATTTCCGAGTTTCACATTCTTGTTATCCTCTCTTGGTTCTTATTCCCTCTTCTTCTCCGTCTCTGTCTCGAGAGAAACCATCTTTATTCGCTTTCCCTTTTGCCTTTCCTTTCTCTCAGCCTAGGCGACACTCGCTTCTGTTCCCCCTCTCCCCCACTCCCCCCTTCCTCCTACTTTCCTTCATCACTTTTCCCTCTTTCTCCCTTATCGCTTCCTTTTCTTCCCTCCTACTTCCACCCTCTTCCTCCGTCCGTCCCCTCTTCCCTTTTCGCTTCCTATTGTTGTCCTTCCCCTCCCCCCCTTTTCCTCCGTCCTTCCCCTCCCCCCTTTTCCCTCTTTTCGCCTCCTGTTCCTCCGTCCTTCCCCTCCCGCCCTTTCCTCCGTCCCCCCCTTTTTCTTCCGTCCTCCCCCCCCTTTTCCTCCGTCCCCCCCCACTTGACCGCCGCAACGGCCACCATCAACGACCACGAAGCCAGCTGCACGGCGACAAGGCAGCGACAACGACCGCGGCGACGACGACTGGCCTGCCTCGTCCACCTTAACGACCGCGACCTGCAGGGAGGGAAGGCAGGGGGGGAAGCAGGGAGGGAAGGCAGGGAGGGAAGGCAGGGAGGGAAGGCAGGGAGGGAAGGCAGGGAGGGAAGCAGGGAGGGCGACGAAAGAGGGAGAAACAAGAGGTGGTGAGGAAACATCAATAAAAGAGAAAACAAGAAAACGTCGAAAGAAGAATAGAGAAAAGAAAGAACGGAGAAAATGAAAAAAACAAATAGAAAAGAGAGGAAGCGAAGAAACAAACCAAATCGTCCGTGACAAAGACGAGCCGATGTACACGGCCCGATGTGTGTGTGTGTGGGGGGGGGATGACTACTTGTCACGAACCCAACAGATCCGGTCGAGCGCCTGAAACCTTTTTTTTTTTTTCTTTTAACACTTTCGCTTTTGCCTCAACCGCTCTTCTCCACCGTCGGTTTCTTCTTATCCTTTCTTGGCTCGCCCCTATCTCCCTCCTTTCTTCGATTTTGTGGAATGGAAAATAAGAGGGCCTTTCAGTATTCACCTACAGCTGATTGAGAATATAGCATGGGGTTGGGGGGTGAGTATTAGGGGTAGAGTGTGGGAGGGAGGGAGGGAGAGAGGGGTAATTGGTAGGGGGAGGGGTAAAGTGTTGGGGGGGGGGATGAAGGGGAAACCAAGGAGAGAGAAACAAAAGGCCTACGCGCCCCCTGCGTGTGATCTTGAGCACGCTACGGCAACGCGGCGACCTACTTCCCAGCAAACTCTAAGTAAACTCAAGTACTTTCTTGGACGCTGGTTCCCGATCAACCAGGCGAGGAAATACGAAAGAAATACAAGGCTGACACGTTTTGAATTTGTTTTCCCCGAGAGTAAATGGCGGAAACCGTTCCTGCATATGGCGCCTCTAACGCCTTCCCTCCCCGGCACTTCACTCACTCCGACCCCCAAGCACAGCCCAGGCCTATGATAAGTACAGGCCTTGAGCACGCTGGCCCCAGAGGCAAATCGAGTCATGCGTCGGGTCAGGGCCATTAGTCGGGGCGCCGGACACGCGACCTGCCCCGACTCGCCGCCGCATTGCAGGCGGCGTTGGCGAGCTGCGGGGGTCGGGAACCTGCGGCAGCTGCGTCGCACCTGTCGCGGTGCAAGTACGGCCTCCCGCGTCTGAATGTACAGGAGGATCTACGGAAGAAAGTATGCATGCATGCAAACATGCAGTGTGCGCACGCACACACACATGATGAGTGGATAGGAGAGATATACATGTGTAGAAATAGATAGATAGAGACAGATAAACAGAAACAGACAGACAGATAGCGAGATAGAGAGGAAGGAAGACGAGGCCAATTAAGCCTTCCTCCCTCAATTCCCTTGTCGTTGACATAGTTACCCAGCCAGGCAGGGCGGCAGGCGGCAGGGGAAGCGGCGGGCGGGCGGCCAAGCATGTCTTACCTAGAAAGATGAGAGAGATAAACGTTAATTTCAGGATAATAATCATTGTTGCCCAGACGATGCGATTTCTGCGACCAACACTCAACACTCATCAGTTTTGCATCTAAACTGACAACAATTCCTTGCAAAAACTTCTTCTAAACTGACGGACGCTGCGCCAAAGACTAATTCAAATTCAAATACACTCAAGACGGGGAAACGCTCACAGAACCGGAGGTGTGGAGGGGGGAGGGGGGGAGGAGGATGGAAAACGTGCACCAGTCTTGTCACCTTTCGGCTCACGGTGAAAGTGTTCGGTCCCGCCTGGCCGCTCACTCACCTCACTCACCTCGATCACATCACTCACCTCACTCACCTTTGGGAGGGAGGGAGGGGGAGAAGGATAGCGGAAGGGTGAAAGGGAAAGGGAGAGTGGACGGAAGGGGAACGGGGAGGGGGAGGGGGAGGGGGAGGGGGAGGGGGAGGGGGAGAGGGAGAGGGAGGGTGAGAGGTAAAGGGAAAGAGAAAGGGAACGAGGACGGAAGGGTGGCAGGAGAAGGGGAAAGGAAAGGAGGAAGAGCGGAAGGGTGAGAGGGAATGGGAAAGGAGAGGAGGGAGTGCGACAAGGGAAGGGGGAGGGCGAAGGAAAAGAACAGGGGAAAGAGAGAGAAGAGAGACACGCAAAGGGGGTAGGGGAGAAGGGGGAAGAGGTGGGGGAGGGAGAGTGATTACGTCTTTTGTTGAAAAAAACGAAACAAAAACAAAGGAAAGGTCAAGGGGGGGGAGGTGGAGGTAGGGGAAGGGGAGGGGGGAGAGGGAGGGGACGATGCAATTTCCCTATTGTCATTTCACTTTCCCATTTTCTGTAGTCTTTCATTCAACATTCATTTGCATTATCACAGCTACAACCACCAGCAACATAAACAGTCACGAGGCAAAGCAAGATCAAGAAAACCCAATCCAAGCCAATACAAGCACAAAACCCAAGCCAATCCATTCTCAACCCAAGCCAAGATTTTTTTTTTATCCAACCCAATTGCAAAAAATAGCACAAAAATCACAAGCCAGGAGAGAGGAACAAAAACGCAATCCACACCAAGCCCCACGCCAACCCAACGCAACCCACACCAAGCCCCACGCCAACACAACGCAACCCACACCAAGCCCCACTCCAAAACAACGCAACCCACACCAAGCCCCACGCCAACACAACGCAACCCACACCAAGCCCCACGCCAACACAACGCAACCCACACCAAGCCCCACGCCAACACAACGCAACCCACACCAAGCCCCACGCCAACACAACGCAACCCACACCAAGCCCCACGCCAACACAACGCAACCCACACCAAGCCCCACTCCAAAACAACGCAATCCACACCAAGCCCCACCCCAAAACAACGCAACCCACACCAAGCCCCACTCCAAAACAACGCAATCCACACCAAGCCCCACTCCAACACAACGCAACCCACACCAAGCCCACGCCAACCCAACGCAACCCACACCAAGCCCCACGCAACCCACACCAAGCCCCACTCCAACACAACGCAACCCACACCAAGCCCCACGCCAACCCAACGCAACCCGCACGACCGGACGCCATGCTAATCAGCCCCGAGTCTTCATTACACATAACGCGCCCGCACTAACTGCTTCAACGGCCAGGCTCGGGGTCTTTGCAACGCACCACATCAGCCAGGGTCGCGGGGCACTGAGGGAGGGAGGGAGGAGGAGAAAGAGGGAGAAAAGGGAGGAAGGGAGAGAGGGAGAAAAGGGAGGAAGGGAGAGAGGGAGAAAAGGGAAAGAGGGAGAAAAGGGTAAATAGGGAGGGAGGGAGGGAAAGAGGGAGAAAAGGAAAAGAGGGAGGGAGGGAGGGAAAAGAGGGAGGGAGGGAGGGAAGAGAGGAAGGGAGGGAAGAAAGAGGAAGGGAGGGAAGAAAGAGAGGAAGGAGGGAAGGAAGAAAGGAAGGAGGGAAGGAAGAGAGGAAGGTGTAAGGAGGAGGGAGAGGAAAGAGGGAGAAAGGAGAAAGGAGAGAGAGGGAGAAAGGGGAGATAGGAAGAAAGGGGAGAGAAGAGAGAGAAAGGGGAAAGCGAAGGAGGGGGGAGAAGGGAAAAGAGGGAGGAAAGAAAGAGAGGAAAGGGAGGGAGGGAACAAAGAGAGAAAGCGAAGAGGAAGAAGGAGGAAGAGAAGTAGGGAGGAAAGTAGGCGCTGAAAGGTAACTGGCCCGCTCTGCCGGTGCAGGACTTCGTCACTTCGTCACGTCTGTCATCCCCGGCCGTCATCGTCGTCGCGTGAGGGATGGAGCTCAAATTTGAATCGTTTGGGAGAAGCAAAAAGCAAACCTTCGTGAACTAAGTGTCAAGTTCTGGGTTTAAAATAACTAACCCCACCCCATTCACAATTTATCATATAATATACAAGTTAGACAGATAAACATAAGAAAAAAGATAGATTGAGCAGACAGATAGACAGAGAGGCAGATAGACATAAATCTATTTCTCACTCTTTCACCTATGAACACGAGAGTTGTCTAATAGCTGATCAATCTCGTGCCCCATTCATCTAAGAAGCCATTAAGTTTTTTTCTCCCAACTTGGCCGCGGGCAGTGCTGGTCGTTCGCAGTGTTTACTTGTATAGAAAAAAAATGTACAACTTATGTCTTGATTCATTTGTTCCTTAATCTTGAATATTCTCCGATTATCGTGTATTATCAAAAAATGGTCTTCTTCCCCTTCTTTAGTCGTTATCTGTCTTATGTGTCTTTATTTTACCTTTGTATTTCCTTAATGCGACCGTCACCACCACAATCATCATCACTGTCATCGTAATCATCACCATCACCATCATCAGTACCATTACCATCATCATCATCACCATCATTGCAATCATCAGGGAGGGAGGGGATTGGGAATGGGAGGTTTTATGGGGGGGAGAGGGGAGGGAATTGAATGGAAGGAGGAAGGGAAGGGGAAAGGGGAAGGTGGGGGGAGGGAGGGAGGGGGAAAGGGGAAGGTGGGGGGGGAGGGTGTCCCTGAGCCAAGCGAGACGTGAGCGACGTCTTCCGCCCGCAGGAATGTGATCGGCGTCCCCCAACCGCCCGCGCCCCCGCCCGCACCTGCTTCCAAGGGGGGATCCTGATTGATCATCAACACCATCATAGTAAGAGTAATATCATTATCATTAGTAGTAGTAGTAGTAAGATCATTATTAATATTATTATTAATGGTGGTGGTGGTAGATGATGATGATGATGGCGACGATAACGATGATGATGACGATTATGACGATGATTGATTGATTGATTGATGATATCGTTGTAATAGTAAAAACAATATCAGAAACAGTAGTAACAGTATTAACATCAGCAACAGCAGCGGGATAAGCAGAAGCTACTACTACTACTAACAATAGTACTTGTACTACGAGTAGTAGCAACAGTGGTAGCAACATCAATAGCGGTCACTATCACTATCGTTTTATTTTTACCCGCTTCTTTCTATAACTACCATTACGCCATGAACACCATAATTAACAAGATTATCACCATCATTTCCAGCACGGTTACTCCCGCGTGTCTCCCTCCATCGCATTCCACTCCACTTCCCCTTTCCCATCATTCCCACAAAGAAATTAATCCGCACGCACACATTCGCAGACACACACCATCCTTACGCGTGCACAAAATCGGACACGACTCCAATCTGCAACACAGGGCCCTTCCATTTCACATTCCGATAAGTAATAAAGCCCTTGTATATAGGCCTAGAGAGAATAAGTTACAAGGTTTCTAGATCCACGGGTTTACTGGGGGTTTGGGAGTCGGTTAAAAAAGTCGGTTGGTATTATTAAGGGTGAACAACATGCTCTTTTGTCTGCACACTTACACCGTCCGTGATCACGCACGCCGTCTGTAGTGAGAGAACAGCGAAAGAGAAGGGAGGGAGAAAGAAAGAGGAGGAAGGGGGAGGGGGAGAGAAGGAACTGGGAGGGTAGAGGATAAATGAGGATAAATGGCAATGGGAAGGGAGGAGGGGAAGGAGAAAAGGAAAGGGTGGGGGAGAAGGAAGGGGCAGGGGAGAAGGAAGGGGCAGGGGAGAAGCGAAGGGGCAGGGGAGAAGCGAAGGGGGAGAGTGGAATAGGGGGGAAGGGAAAAAAGGGGAGAAATCGAGAGTGGAAGAGAGAGGAGAGGCGAAAGGAGAAGAGAGAAGGAAGAGGGGAGGATGAGGAAGAGAAATGGGTACAGGAAAGTGGAAACAGCAAATAAAGATACGGAATTAATGAAAAATAATATCCCACGGCAAAAAGCATAATTGACATTCCGAGTCACACGGGAATAATAAAATAAAATAAAAACTAAACGGCGATGACGTCACGGGAACACAGAAAAAGAGAAAAAGGAAGAAGAAGAAAAAGAAGAAAAAAGAAAATGAAAAGAAAAACAAAAACAAAAACAAAAATCAGCAGCAAACAAAAAAAGAAAAGCACCTTAACCGGCGATGACGTCACACCTGTCCGGCCCGCAAATTCGTTAAGTCGCGCCGACCTCCAGGTGAGCCGCCGAGAGGAGTGGCGAAACGACCGTCAACCGTCACAGTGGCGGCGCACGTCCTCTGCCTACCGCCGGCCAGCCACCCACGAGGACGACCGGCCACTGAGCGAGTCTTCTTCCCCCTCCTCTTTCCTCCTCTTTTCCTCCTTTTCCTCCGCTTTCTTTGACAATCTTTTCCTTCTCACTTGATCTGTTTCGTGTTCTCTTCTCCTCTTGTCTCTATCCTTATCTCGCGATTTTTAATATCCTCTCCCTCTCCCTCTCTCCCACCTTCTCCCTCTCCCTCTCCCTCCGGTCTCTATCCTTATCTCGAGATTTTTAACATCCTCTCCCTCTCCTTCTCTCTCTCTCTCTCCTTCTCTCTCTCCCTCTTTCCCAATCTTCTTCAAATCTGCCCCACCCAACGTTCCGCAAATTTCCACCACTAAAATCTTTCCCAGAAAGAGTTCCAGCGTCAGTAGCACAGTGCCCTAAGCTGCCCAACTACGCCCAGCCTCCCTCACCCACCCACCCACTTACCCCCTCCCCTACGCAACAGCCTCCTACCCACACCCTCACCCTCACCCTCACCCACCTACCCAACCCACTCACCTCCCTTCCCCCTTCACCCATATGAACCCTCCCCCTCCCCCTCCCCCACCTCCATACCCCTCCCCCTCCCCCTCCCCCACCTCCATACCAACCACGCCCCGTCTGACACCAACAAGGATGTACAAGTCAACGAGATCACAGGCGCTCAAGCAGATATAAACACAATTGCGGCGGAGTGTACGTGAGCCGGGCACGCGCAGGATACGTGAGGGGGGGGGGGAGAAAAGAGGTGGTGGGGGGACGTGGGAGAAGAGGGAAGGGAGTAGGAGAGGGGAA